GCACTAATTTACAGTGACCCTATGCACTACCTTATGATTACGATTGAACTGCGACCCAATTACATTTTAAATGCCTGCAATTTTATTTTATTTTTAAATATGAATCTGCACTGCACATAAATAGGATCATGAAGGCCTCTGCCTCTAACCCTTCAATACATACATACATATACTTAGAATTCAAAACAGGGTTTCAAATGGTATAATTGAGGGTGTCGACTTGATCAATTTTCGATTGTAGAATAAACATCGTCAGTGTCATCCCTAGGCCCACTCGGGGGCTCAGACTATGACATAGTTGTTTCAACGTTGGAATTCGAGGCTGACGAAATGTCGTCCCAAAAGTATAACTTTTTCCGCGATTTCCGATCAACTCGCTCAACCGAATTATTAACACACCTTAATTCCTACGACTGGACTGAGTTCTTCCTTAGTTTGGATGTAAATGTTTGCACTGCAAAACTGTACGAAATTTTGGGTCCGCTTATTTCTCGTTTTGTCCCCCGTAAGAAAATTATTAATGTTGGGGATGAGATTTTCCTACCTTTACCCTTTCGTCGCAGATTGCGCAGGCTTTATCGTCGTTTCCATCTTCAGAACGACGTTTCTGTTCTGCCCTTGATATAAGACAATGTTGATCGAGCTAAGAGATTGTCTGAAGAAAAACAGCTAGCCGAAGAGGTCCACTTTACTGAAAACCATTCGTTAAGTGTCTCGAAACTTTTCTCTAGAAAAATACGAACTCAGAAAAAGACGCAGTATCCCATCCTTCGAGACGATCTCGGAAATCCCATAGTTGATACCCAGTAAACCGCGGACAGCTTCAATGATTTCCTGTCCAAAACGTTTATTGAAGACCCGACCACTCCGCTTCCGACCATCCAGTCATTGACCGGGGCAGTTCTAGAAACTATAACTTTCACTCTGTGGGATGTGACTGTTGCGATTCGGCGTTTTCGTCAATCTTATAGTCCAGGCCCTGATGGTGTCCCAGTAAGCATTTTAAAAGCCGATGCAAACACGATCTTCCCATCCCTCTTATGCAAGATATTTAATCTTGCTCTTGAAAGTGAAACTTA